GTCAGCACAGAGCCTGACTCGGGGCTCGAACTCATGAACCATGAGATCAATACCTCAGCTGAAGTCAGACACTTAACCAACTGAGCCACCCAGGCGCCCCTATATCTGTTTTTTGAAAATTACTTTTTACCCTACTGAGTCTATGCCTCCATTTGTTGTTATTACAAATCTTAATATCCAATCAAAATACATTTTGTAACTCTCCTCTGACTCATTCCTGAATCCATCAGCATTTTTTTGGTTGAAATGCCCTAAATTAGATCCTGTACTACAATAAACAATGCTCTTGAATATAACATTTTATTATAATCAATGACTATACACCCTTTCCTATTTTTGGTTTTCAATTATAGAGCAATGCTGATGGCATATGATATTCTTTCATATTCATAGTGTGTGTGCCTCTTAACCCATGCTTCTGCCGTCACCCATACCCTCTGCTAAAATGTGACCTCAAGTGACAATGAACCAGAAAATGTTCCTCCCCTGACAACCAGGAGTGAAGACCTAGGCCAGGCTGAACCTTGTGCTTCTCCCAGGAACTTGGAATAAGTTCACAGAAACATTCAGTTGGCCTTGGGAGACAAACTGCCAAGTTGTGTAGCACTGAATGTCTGGCCGAACACACACAAGTAAGCAAGGAAAGAAAGCCGGTCTCCAGAACGGAGTACAAAAATGATGAGGACAAGGACAGAAGCCACATGAGAGAGAACTCCCGACTTCACAATACAAGCCCGTTGGCCTTGCTTCCCTTTATGTCCTGGTGGTTGTCTGCCACGTCTGCTTCTTAAGCTACTGGGAGTTCTTCTCTACTTCTTATACCTACCATTTCCTAGGTAAAATATGAACAATGAAACGTAGACTATTGTCAAGCCTTCTTACTCACAACTAATCTTTTATTAATACTTCTCAGTGTTTATCTTGGTATAAGTAATATACTGGTGAACTGGGAGTTAGTCATCATTCTCCCAGTAAACCACAATCAACAACTCAACTCTCTACATCCAGTTTCTTTCACTCTAAAAATAGGATGACAGGGGTGCCTGGATGGCTCAGTCGGTTAAGCATCCGACTTTGGCTCAGGTCACGATCTCATGGTTCGTGAGTTCGAGCCTGTGTCGAGCTCTGTGCTGACAGCTCAGTGCCTGGAGCCTGCTTTGGATTTTGTGTCTCCCTCTCTCTCTGTGCCTCCCCCCACTCGCACTCTGTCTCTCTCTCTCAAAAGTAAATAAACATTAAAAATAAATAAATAAACAAATAAATAAAAATAGGATAACACTATTCACCCTACCTTCTTCATATCATTTTTCTGAAGATTAAATAACATTATAAAGCCCAAAAATAAAAAAGCTTTTATATATTTTTTATGTTTTTAAATGTCAGCTATTATAAGGAATATTGTCATGTGTTAAAATGTTAGTTTTTTTAAGATTTTTTTTTTTGAGAGAGAGAGAGCATAAGTGGGGGAGAGTGGCAGAGGAGGAGAGAGAAAGAAAGAGAAAGAGAAAGAGAGAGAGAGAGAATTTCAAGCAGGTTCCATGCCCAGCACAGAGCCCAATGTGGGGTTCAATCCCACAACCCTGGGATCATGGCCTGAGCCAAAATCAAGTCAGACCCTCAACCAACTGAGCCACCCAGGCACCCCTAAAATGTTAATTTCTGAGCATTTCTCCCAAACACTGAAGTTGATTTAAATGTTTAGCTCTAGCTTACAGTCATAGTATCTCCATTTTTTCCCTTTGTTTACAAATTGCTGCCCAGGGTCATCAGGTCAATGCTTAGGTTAGGTTGTGTTTGTCTTGTTCCAGACTTGTGTCCTGGCACCATCTTTCAAATGTCTTCTAATGCTCTGCTCCACCAGCCCCTCTTTGCCTTGCCCTCCCCATGTCAAGGTCAGGCTCCTGGAAAGTGAACTGTGTCTGTGTTGCCTGGAAAAGGAATTCAGACAAATTTACCCGGGCAGCATCTAACCAACACATCTATTCTTTTCAAAGCTATCTATGTGATAAACCCATGTCAGGTTTGAAACTCACATTATAAAATTTCACTCTCCTGTTAAATCCCTGCTGTACCAGGGAGGCAGCCACCTGGTGGTATCCAAAAATTTAATCATCCTTCAATCTCCGTCTTTCTTCAGAAAGGACAAAGCCCTGCTCTGTTCTTATAAACATGGGCTCTTACCTAACTTCTTTTCGTTTGATATTTATTTCAATTTGATGTTACTTGCATACATCTATTTCCCATTACTCAAGCTATCAGTGTGATTTTCTCAGGCTTCATGTAACTCCCTGGGGACAACCAAACAGGTTGTCAATGAAATACGAATGAAGGTTTCAAATGAAACCTTAGGTTGCAAATGAAATATGAATCCTATTCAATTAACCATGTAAAATGTGTTATATAATCAGAAAACAGAAGTCAGATCTAAAAATACTATTCAACATCTAGGACAAGAGTTGGAGACAAAAAGTCAGGAAGAAGATGAAATCTTCAGGTAAAGAATTTGACTACTAAGATGGTAGTATTTGTTTTCTACAGAGAGCCTTCCAACATAACCCATCCTATAGTGGGATTTATAAAAAACTTCCGTTTCCTCCCTGAATGTTATCAGGAAGAAAGTAAAAATGTAGCCAATGTAAAAATGAACCATAAACTTGAAAATTTTAACATGTTAAAAATCTCTGTTCCTAAAAAAGAAATGTGTTACAAGAGGGAAAAAAAAAAATGGAAGAAGAGGAATGGAGAAAGTAATTGTCCAGACACATAAGTGCTCATGTAGTTAAAACAGAAATATTCTTAAAGTAGAAAATGTCAGTCTATCTGACTCACACCAGGCAATCTCTTGCTCTATAATTTACTCCCCAAATGAGTCTTTCTACCAGTAGTGATGAGGGGTAGAGGTGCAGAGAGAAGAATGAGGGGCTGCATTGATGAAAGTTCTGTAGTTTAGCTAGGGAATTTAGAAAGTTCCCATTCTGATTCATCTCTTGCCCATTTGGTAGCGTATCCTTAGCCTCTGTATCCTGACTCAATTTCTCATCCCGCAAAGCCCAGGCAGGCCTACTCCTAATACCAATTACAGCCCCAGGAGGCCCTTCCAAGAACAACAAGATCTCCCTCATAGTCATTACATCTGGTATCTGGGTTCCATTGTGCTCCAGACTAACCCAATTTTCTTTTCTTTTCTTTTCTTTTCTTTTCTTTTCTTTTCTTTTCTTTTCTTTTCTTTTCTTTTCTTTCCTTTCCTTTCCTTTCCTTTCCTTTCCTTTCCTTTTTTCTTTTCTTCCTCTTTTTCTTTCTTTCTCTCTTTCTTTCTTTCTTTCTTTCTTTCTTTCATGTACTTAATAGAACTTCTGGAAACCATTGTGTTACCAACTGGCAATGCCTTTTCTGTGGCACTTACTACCTTGTATTTTGTTAATATTTAACTTCTTTTAAGAAGACTTTAAGCTCTTTGAGGATGAGATCTGCAAATGTACAGTCCTTCCTTACCAATATCCCAGTGTTTTGCATAGAGAAGGTTATCATTAGTTATATAATGAATCAAGATGAACAATGACAATGGACAAGTCGCTTTTCCAAAGCCTTTGAATTAAAATTTTTGTAGTAAGCCAGAAACTCCTCTAAAATCCCTGTCATCACTCACTTTCTCTTTTACCACCTTTCTTATTTACTTAACTTTTATTAGTGATACAATGGTGTTTACCATGAGTACAAGAAATGCTTTTATGCTGTAATTTTTCCTAAGGTATATTACAAGCAGCTTCTTTCTCTTCCCAGCTAGTTTCTAAATCTCTTGAAAGTGGGGACCGTGCCTTCAATCTCATAACACCATTCATACATCATTCTGTGCACAATATTGATCAATGTTGACCAAGTGCTTTCCACAGACCAGGTACTTTCTAAGCACTTTAATCATTTAATCATTTAACCCTGATGGCAGCCCTACAGAAGAGGTGGCTCAGGTGACACAGCTAGAAAGTGACAGCACCAGGATTTGATTCAAGGCAGTCTTGTTATAGGCACATGGTCTTGACCACTCCACTTTACTGCCTCCTATATAGAAAGGATTACAGTGGCTTCCTGAACAACTGGTTTAATCAAAAATGTTTATTAAAGGCGTAAGTTTTGGTAAACAACACTTTGTAATATGGTCAGGAAGCAGAGATGTTTCTTCTCCATTGGCTGTAACCTTTATATTACAAACACATCCCCTTTCCTATTATCATGCAATTCTGTTTTTCATGGAAATCTCACACTACCACCGAGTTATCCATAACACCACAACCTTTTTAAACTATGGTTATTTCTGACACTAGTGTACCTCTCAGAATACCAAACCCAAAGTTCCTAGCTGCCTCACACAGGAAAGCAACATCAGACTTAACCTGAAGCTGAGTCTCAGCTCTGCCTCTTACCAACTATGGGACCTCAGGCAAGTCACTGAAATCCTCTCAGCTTCAGCTTCTTACCAGAAACAAAAATTATTTTCTAATAAAATCTCCCCAAGAGAGTTGCCATGAAGTTCAGAGATGATGTAGGAAAGGTGGCTAGCACAGCATTTGGCCCATAGTAAAAGCTCAGTTAACATAGTTGTTATTAATCTCTTAGCAATTCACATAATTATTGTTGCATGAGAAAATCAACATAGAGGTGTTCTTAAGGATCTACCCTCTCACTAAGCCTATTGGTGCTGTTATTTCCTTGTGCTGTTGTTAAAAGTGATCAGATTATTAATCTCATTGATGTTTATGACCCATTAATCAATGAGTCAGTTCTCTTTGGATGGAACCACATATCATTGCCTTAGCTCCCTGTCTCACCAGAGAATTTACTGGGAGGTGGCTCACATTTCACCCCTCATGGTTAATCCCACAGCTGTCAAGGAGAGGAGCGTACAATGATATCATTGATCTTGGGGGATTTCTTTCAAATAAGAATAAATAAAAATCTCCCAATCACTCTTCTAATGCATAGTTGCTTATAACGGTGTCTCCTACCTGCTAAATTCCTGGAAATTCAGGGAAGATTGTGAAAACTAATCTTTATCAATGAGGAATCATTATGATCCAGGTTGTTGTTGCAGCAACTAAAAGGAAAAGGAAAACAAATGATACTTACTAGTCTAAAATCAGGCAGTGTAGAGTAATAGAATCTTGGATTTGGAGGAGACATGAGGATCTCCCCATCTTCCTCCCCTCTTCCACCTCCTCCCACCCGATATTTGGATTCTATTACAAAGAATGCAGGTGGTCATCTAGCCTCTGCCAGAAATGTGGACATCTAGCGACTTGAACTCTCGTTCTGAGCTGGGTCGCTAGTCCAAACAACTCAGCCACCACAAGCCCCAGTTGCTTCTATTGTGAAACACTGACTCTCTCTCTGACCTGCTGCAACTCCTGCCCTGGCCCCCACCCCATGAAACCGGCAGCCCCCAACTTACACATGGATCCTCTTCCAAAAGATCACTGAAGCCTGTTATTTGGAACTCAGAAAAGATTTCCTGTTGAAACATTATAAATGATGGTTGGGATCTCGGGTTTGCCCACAACACTCTTATTTCATTCATACTGTAGTTAAATCATGACACCAGCCCAAGAGTAAGAGGAGGAAAAGGAATTTCTGCCCCCTTTTCTAGACACAAGTCAAACTAGACAAGGCTCTGAAAAGTGTGCTATTTATCTTGGCACACTCTCACTTCCTTCCGTTTCTTCTCTTCCATTTTCTAATATACTTTATTCTAGTGGCCCAAAGACTGCAACTATAGCATCTCATGCAGGCTTACTTCACTCTGCAAAGTCCTTAATGTTTTTTATCCTCTCCATCCCCCCTGTAACTCCTCCCCTTTCCCGTATTCCTAGCTCCTGCTCATCTAGTCATCAACCGCTCACCTTCTCTTCCCTTAATGAGGCATCTGCAGCCAGACAACGGAGAATCAGATTTGATTTAAATAATGCGTGAACACCTAAGCACAATAAAGAGCCAACACTTATACAGTGCTTTCCTGTGTGCCTAGCACTATACTTTTTGTTTAATGTTAATTCTTTTTTGAGAGACAGAGGGCGAGTGGGGGAGGGGCAAAGAGAGAGAAACACAGAATCCAAAACAGGTCCAGGCTCCGAGCTGTTAGCACAGGGCCCAATGCAGGGCTTGAACTCACGGATCACGAGATCATGACCTGAGCTGAAGTCGGATGCTTAACCGACTGAGGCACCCAGGCGCCCCGCCTAGCGCTATTCTCGGCATACATCAACTCTTTAGACCCCCAACAATCCTGGGAAAGAGGTACTATTATTTGCACTCCACAAATGAGGAAATTGAGGCACAGAGAGGTTAAATAACTTGCCCAAGGTCAGTATGCTATGGTCAGTGATGGAGTTGGGTTTTGAATCCAGGCAGTCTAATACTGAAGACTGTGCTCTCATCCCAACCTTCCCAGGGGGGATTGATATCTAAATATGGAGTGCTTCTTAACCCAAATTAATCTCTACATTTCGAGCAGCATAACAGACAAGAGAAAATATTCAAGCAGTGAAAGAGAACACTTCAAGCAATGTGTTGGAGAACACATTCTGGGACAGGCAGACATCAAGCCAGGGTGGCAAATGCTGACGTAGGTTCAAAATGGCGACTTAGATTGTATTCTTTTCACACAAGCACAACCTGTAGGAATGGTCTTCTCATCCACAGAGAAAAAGGCTCACTCCTGTTTTTTTGTTTTTTGTTTTTTTTGGTTCTCCCTTTCTACCTTTCTCTTCCTAATGTTGGTACAGATAGAGATACTAGAAATAGTTGACATTTCTCATAACATACTTCTAAGAAAGAAGGCAGTATCCTTGTGATGATAAATGGCCATCAGCCCTGGTCCATGGTGTGCAAGGCTCTCCCTATGGGAGCCGGAGAGTACATGTTTCTTGTAAAGAGGCAGCCCTTCTCAGCCCCAGGTGAAGTTTAGTTTGCAGGGAGGCAAGCAGTTTGACTCCAGAATCTAGGCTCTCAACTGCTTTGTTATACTGCCTGGGTTCAAGCAACACCTGGATCACGTTTTTAATGCACCTTATTGTAGTATATTCATTCTCATGGTGAATGGTTGCATCTATGAATAAATTAGAAAGATGTCTCTGCTTATCAGGACTCCTTCAGTTGCAAGTGCTCTAAGCCTAACTCAAATGGTCTTTAAAATATACCCATGTGTGTGGGGATGTGAGACCCCAATGTCGAACCCGAACTAAAGCTAGAGGCTTAAGCAATATCATGAGGCCTCCCCTCCTCACCTCCCAGCACTTCTTCTGTTGGTGTGTGGACCTTGTCTACTCCTACACATGAGAAGGCAGTACTCCAGATGCACATTTTTCCAGCTCCACAGATCTAGCTTTGGTTGAAAAGTCCCAGGAAGGACTTGGATTGGACCACCTTAGGTTGTATATCCTGACCCAATCGCTTCCCTGGGGGAGTCGGATTACTTTGGTTAGCCAGGGCTAGTTTATTTACTAGGCACCATGATAGAGGGAGAGTGGGTGACAGAGTACTATGATTCACAGCCCTGCCAAACTCTGATAAAGTACGAAGGGACAGTTCTCCAAATAAAGGGTGGTCCTGGGCAATCAAAAACTATAGCTGCCCACTATAATGTTCAATGTTATGTCTAGCTTGAAAATTAGGGAAATTAGGGGTGCCTGGGTGGCTCAGTCAGTTAAGCGACTGACTGGCTCAGGTCATGATCTCACGGTTGGTAAGTCGAGCCCCGCATCGGGCTCTGTGCTGACAGCTCAGAGCCTGGAGCCTGCTTCAGATTCTGTGTCTCCCTTTCTCTCTGCCCCTCCCCCACTCATGCTCTGCCTCTCTCTGTCTCAGAAATAAATAAATATTAAAAACAAAAGAAAAATAGGGAAATTAGAAAGGCAAAAATTAGCTTATATTGGATTACTCAAAAAATCAAAACTAGCTTTATTTAGTGTACATTTAATTAATGTCTTCGAGATTATGATGTCTAAAAAAGTGAACAATTCAGTCAATCCTATAGACGTTTCTAAATGTTTAATTATTTTGCTGTTTTATGAAAAATATGGATAATTAACCAACTCTTTTCTTTATTTTTTATCTTGATGTTTTATTATGTTTTATCTGGATGCTATATAAATTCAGTTGAATGCCATTTAGAATCTAGAACATGTAACCCTGTTTTTTTTAATCATGTAGTATTAGATTTTTTCCTTTTTTCTTTTTTTTAAGGTTATTTATTTATCTTGAGAGAAAGACACAGGAGGGGCAGAGAGAGAGGGAGAGAGAAAGAATCCCAAGCAGGCTCCACACCATCAGCACATAGCCCCATGTCAGGCTCGAACTCATGAACTGTGAGATCATGACCTGAGCTGAAACCAAGAGTCGAATGCTTAACCAACTGAACCACCCTGGTGCCCCAAGAGTAGACTGTAATAAGTGATTTAGTGTCTTACCATAACATGTTTACTCTCAACAAGTTAGAGCTAAACTAAAGAACAAAGATGAGATAAAAATGGAGAAATTGTATTGCCATTACATTTCTATAACTGAGTTGAACAAAGAACTAAAAACAAGATATGCTCGGGGTGCCTGGGTCACTCAGTCAGTTGAGCATCTGACTCTTGGTTTCTGCTCAGGTCATGATCTTACAGGCTCATGCAATAGAGCCCCATGTCAGGCTCTGTGCCGACAGCTCAGAGCCTGCTTGGGAATTTCTCTCTCCCTCTTTCTGCCCCTTCCCTGCTCGCGCGCTCTCTCTCAAAATAAACACATAAAAATTAAAAAAGTAAAATAAAAGCAAGATATACTCTATTTAAAAGTTAGAAAAGTGGGGCGCCTGGGTGGCGCAGTCGGTTAAGCGTCCGACTTCAGCCAGGTCACGATCTCGCGGTCCGGGAGTTCGAGCCCCGCGTCAGGCTCTGGGCTGATGGCTCGGAGCCTGGAGCCTGTTTCCGATTCTGTGTCTCCCTCGCTCTCTGCCCCTCCCCCGTTCATGCTCTGTCTCTCTCTGTCCCAAAAATAAATAAAAACGTTGAAAAAAAAATTAAAAAAAAAATAAAAGTTAGAAAAGCATTTAAGTCTTTATACATCTTCACCATCCTGTCCTACTGTATTCAATTGGTAATTGGTACAAAGCAATACAAAGATGTCAAGGGAATTTTCTCTTCAAAGTTAATGCCTTTGCCTCCTTCTCTTTTGGATATTTACTATCAGCATATTGTGTTAAATCCCCAAATTCCCAGATGGAACATGGTGCGTGAACGTAAAATGAGCATTAATTTTGTATTGTTAAGACAGATTTATTTCCTTCCTTGTTATTCCCCTATCATGAGGCAAGCCCTGGTGCTAAGCAGGTTGTAATCCCTACAACCACTCTGTGAAAAAGAGACCATTTACAGGTGAGGAAACCGGGGTATTCATTTAATCCTCAAAGTAATCCTCCGAGGTAAATATCATTGAAAACTTTTTAAATTTATTTTTGAGACAGAGCACGAGTGGGAGAGAGAAGCAGGCTCCAGGCTCCAGGCTCCAGGCTGTCAGCACAGAGCCCTATGTGAGGCTCGAACTCACAGGCCACAAGATCATGACCTGAGCCCAAGTCAGATGCTTAACCGACTGAGTCACCCAGGCGTCCCTGAGGTAAATATCATTTTAATCCTCTTACTTCTGATGAGGAAACTGAGGCATAGAAAGGTTCTAAAAATTACCTGAGTTCACAGAGCTAATTAGCTATGACTGGGATTTGGACCCAGGCAGTCTAGCTCTTGGGCTTATGCTCTTAGTCACTATTCCCCATCTCCTCCAATTGCTTAATGGTTAGTCTATTACGAAGCATACAATCTAGGGCTAAATGACAGTTAATGCTTAACCAGAAAATATGCATTAAACCTCATTCTTAGCCAAATTCTTCTCTATAGATCTAAAGTTACCAATACACTTTTCCCATATTTCTCTCTTTTTGGAAAAAAGGTGGAAATAACTGGTAGTAACTATCATATACTATTTTCAAGTAAAATACACCAAGAGGCTCCTGAGTGGCTCAGTGAGTTGAGTGTCTGACTCTTGATTTCCGCTCAGGTCATGATCCCAGGGTTGTGGGATCAAGCCCCACATTGGTCTCCATGCTGAGCGTGGAGCCTGGTTGATACTCTCTCTCTCTCCCCCCCATCTGCCCCCTCCCCCACTTGCACACTCTCCCCGCCCCGCCCTGAAATAAATAAATAAATAAATACATAAATAATACTTCAGTTGTATGAAATGCGGCTTCAAAATGTACTTCAACACTTTACAGTTTCATTTAAAACAATGAGAGTTATTAACCTATTTAAACCATTTCCCAGTTTGAGATCAATACTGTTTCTGACTTCAGGCTTTACCCTTATCAGAACTCTGTGTAAAACACAAAGAGGCAGAAAGACCCGTGATGTTTGATTAATCATTAAGGAGGCTTCCTTCACAAACAGCACAGTGCATTCCCAAACCCCATCTCTAAAAATAAAGTAAAATAAAATAAAATACATCAAGATCTGTGTGCACGTTTCTCAAAAAGAAAAGTTTCATAACATTACAATAAAAGAACATGAAATGCTCACTTTTTCTTACAAGAAAGTCCCTGTCCTGCCTTGTGCCCGTGTCCTATTTAATGCGACAAGAACAGAGAGGGACCTGCCCACCAGGTAGGTCATTTGAACCTACCTCCAAATGAAAGAGAATTATAAGTGGACCTCTCCACAGCCCATCATTTTTGCCTCAAGGAAAAGGTCCTCCCTCACCCACCCTTCGAAGCAGAGACCTGTGTGTGAGCAGAACTTTCTTTGCCTGCATGAATCCCTTTCCAAAAAGTAGATGTGTGACCTCTGGTTCTGCCTGCATATATGAGAAAGAGGGAGGGGGCAGGGGAGGGAGAAATTCACAGATGCAGAAGCTAAAACCATTGTCACATTGTAGAATTTGTTTAGACCTCTGTGTGACTGTTTGCACTACCCAGAATGACAGTTGGTTTCAGGGAAGCCTCCTTAATGATTAATCAAACATCATGGATCTTTCTGCCTTTTTAGTTTTACACAGAGTTCTGATAAGGGTAAAGCTTGAAGTTAGAAGCAGTATTGATCTCATACTGGGAAATGGTTTAAATTCAAAATATTTGAAGCAGCATATAGGTAAACAATTCTCATTGTTTTTGTTTTTTTTTTTAACGTTTATTTATTTTTGAGACAGAGAGAGACAGAGCATGAACGGGGGAGGGGCAGAGAGAGAGAGGGAGACACAGAATCGGAAGCAGGCTCCAGGCTCCTAGCCATCAGGCCAGAGCCCGACGCGGGGTTCGAACTCACAGACCGTGAGATCGTGACCTGAGTTGAAGTCAGACGCTTAACCGACTGAGCCACCCAGGCACCCCAGTTCTCATTGTTTTAAATGAAACTGTAATGTGTTAAAGCACAACATTCTAAAGACTCGTTTAATACAACTGAAGTGTAAACTTTATATGTGATTTGTTTTTAAATTGGCATGCTTTTTTGATAAGCACACAAATGTATTTCAAGTAGTATATAATCATACCCAAATACATATCAAACATGGTATATCCAAGGCACACCATAAAATGTATTCCAATTTTATCCTCACCTGATTTTAGTTTTTAAAATATTATATATATATATATATATATATATATATATATATCCTTTTTCTTATTAGCAAGAAATGAACTTTTTAACCTAATGATGCCAATATGACAATAATACATATCAACTTAAATATGTGCAAAATAATACATACTTTTCAAAATTTTTATATGATGTACATAGCTACAAAGTTTGAGGATCATTGTTCTACAAAGTTAAATCCCAACCTTTCATAATCTGACCCCCAGCTGTCTTCCTAATTGCAATCCTTGGCTATATTTTGCTGTGAGTTTTTAAGAGTCCTGAGTAAGAGAAATTCATTTTTAATTTATTTTTATTTTTTTATTTATATATATATTTTTAATATAAAATTTACTGTCAAATTGGTTTCATTACAACACCCAGTGCCTATCCCAACAGGTGCCCTCCTCAATACCCATCACCCACCCTCCCCTCCCTCTCACCTCCCATCAACCCTCAGTTTATTTTCAGTTTTTAAGTCTCTTATGGTTTGCCTCCCTCCATCTTTAACTTTTTTTTTTTCTTCTTCCCCTCCCCCATGGTCTTCTGGTAAGTTTCTCAGGATCCACATAAGAGTGAAAACCTATGATATCTGTCTTTCTCTGTATGACTTACTTCACTTAGCATCACACTCTCCAGTTCCATCCACATTGCTACAAAAGGCCATATTTCATTCTTTCTCATTGCCAGGTAGTATTCCATTGTATATATAAATCACAACTTTTTTATCCATTCATCAGTTGATGGACATTTAGGCTCTTTCCATAATTTGGCTATTGTTGAAAGTGCTGCTATAAACATTGGGGTCCAAGTGTCCCTATGCATCAGCACTCCTGTATCCCTTGGGTAAATTCCTAGCAGTGCTATTGCTAGGTCATAGGGTAGATCTATTTTTAATTTTTTGAGGAACCTCCACACTGTTTTCCAAGGTGGCTGCACCAGTTTGCATTCCCACCAACAGTGCAAGAGGGTTTCTGTTTCTCCACATCCTTTCTAGCATCTATAGTCTCCTGATTTGTTAATTTTAGCCATTCTGACTGGCGTGAGGTGATTATCTCAGTGTGGTTTGAGAAATTCGTTTTTTAAAAACCTCATCCTTTGACATATAGTTTGAATGCAAAACAGCAAAGTGAAAAGAGAAGACCTTAAAAGAAGATGGAGAGAAAAAAAATCTTCAAAGGAATAAAAATTAGATTTTCAGTAAAAGTAGAAGTCAGAAAGTGGTAAAATAATATCTTTGATGAATTGAGAGAAAACAATCAACCAAAAACTATAAGGCTACCAAAAAGTATCCTTCAAGAATTAAGAGGGGTGCCTGGGTGGCTCAGTCGGTTCAGGAGCCGACTTCAGCTCAGGTCATGATCTTTCAGTTTGTGAGTTCAAGCCCCACACGGAGCTCTCTGCTGTCAGTGTGGACCCTGATTTGGATCCTCTGTCTGCCTCTCTCTCTCTGCCCCTTCCCTGCTTACACTCTGTCTCTCTCTCTCAAAAATAAACAATAAAAAAAAAAAGTTAAAAAAAAAGAATTAAGAGGGTTTGCTAATTTACTGAAGGAAATTCTAAAGAATATATTTCAAGCAGAAGCAACATAATCTCCAATGGAAAGTCTGAGATGCAAGAAGGGATGAAGAGCAAAAAAAAGTGGTGACATATATGTATTATATATTATTATATCATATTATACTATGTTATATTATGTTTATAATAAAACATATATAAAATTATATATAAAACAATAACATTGTCTTAGGTTAAAAATCAATATAAAATAAAAGCACATCTGCATAGCATATAAGTCAAAAAGTGATTAGGAATAGAATGCTGAAAGGTTCTTATATTATTTGAGAGGAAAATAAAGGTATTGATAAATGTTAGATCTTTTTTTTATTTTTTTATTTTATTAAAAAAAAATTTTTTTTAACGTTTATTTATTTTTGAGACAGAGAGAGACAGAGTATGAATGGGGGAGGGTCAGAGGGAGAGGGAGACACAGAATCCGAAACAGGCTCCAGGCTCCGAGCTGTCAGCACAGAGCCCGATGCGGGGCTCTAACTCACGGACCGTGAGATTGTGACCTGGGCCAAAGTCGGCCGCCTAACCGACTGAGCCACCCAGGCGCCCCGATAAATGTTAGATCTTGATAAGTTAAGGATGCAGAGTAAAATTTCTTCACCAAAAGAATGAAAATAGAGTATATAACTTTCAAACTATCATAGGCAAAGATGAATGGAATAAGAAAAATATATTCAGTCAGCCCAAGAGAAGGCAAGAAAAGACAGCAAAACAAAAACAAAAACCAAGCAGGGGGGAAGGGACAGAACAAATAACACTAAATAAGAGAGTAGGGGAAAAAAAAGCCAAATATGGTCATAATTAAGATATGTAAATGTATTATACTTACTCGTATTTTATAGGTCTCATTCTCTTTGTACAGTCCAACTAAATTACTAACGGTTATCAAAGAGATTGCTAGAAAACTCTCACACGTTTGGAAACTAAGAAACATACTTTGAAGTAGCTCAGGATTAAAGAAGAATAATAGTAAAAATTAGAAAATATTTATAATTGAATCATAATGAATGATAAATGAATCATAATAATTCATAATAAACTCAGAGAAAAGAAGAAAGTTTGAAAGTTAATGAGTTAAATCCAAGTTAATAGCATACCCAAGTTAATAGCATAAATCCAAAATAAGCAGAAAGAAGAAATGATTCAGTTGAGAACAGATATTAATGGGAAAAAATGTTAGATAAAATCAACAAAGTCCAAGTTGATTTTTGAGAAAACGAGTAAAATTGACAGAATCCTGGTAGACTGATCAAGGAAAAAGATAAAGAGCATTAATAAACATTAGAAACGAAAGGGGCCATGTTATAGATGTTAAGACATAGACATAAAAGGTAGATCACACTATGAGCAGTTACATGCCAATTAAATTGAAAACTTAGGTGAGGGGCGCCTGGGTGGCGCAGTCGGTTAGGCATCCGACTTCAGCCAGGTCACGATCTCGCGGTCCATGAGTTCGAGCCCCGCGTCGGGCTCTGAGCTGATGGCTCGGAGCCTGGAGCCTGTTTCCGATTCTGTGTCTCCCTCTCTCTCTGCCCCTCCCCCGTTCATGCTCTGTCTCTCTCTGTCCCAATAAACGTTGAAAAAAAAAAATTAAAAAAAAAAAAAAAAGAAAACTTAGGTGAAATGGAAAAATTCCTAGAAAAGTGTAACTTAACAAAACTTCCTCAAGAAGATATTGATGACAACAGCAACAAAACCCTGACTCTCAGCAAAGTAGGTGTAGAGAGAACATACCTTGGCATAATAAAGACCATATGTGACAAACCCACAGCTAACATACTCAGTGGTGAAAAAAAAGGAGAGCTTTTCCTCTAAGATCGGGAACAAGACAAGGACAGCCACTCTTACCACTTTTATTCAACATAGTACTGGAAGCCTTAGCCTTAGCAATCAGACAAGAAAAACAAGTAAAAGGCACCCAAGTTGGTAAGGAGGGAGTAAAACTTTCACTATTTGCAGGTGATATGATCCTATATATAGAAAACCCTAGAGAATCCACCAAAAGCCTACTAGAACTGACAGGCAAATTTAGTAATGTCACAGCATACAAAATTAATATACAGAAATTGGTTGCATTTCTATACACTAATAATAAAGTAGAAGAAAGAGAAATTAAGGCAACAACCCCATTTACAATTGCACCAAAAATGATGAAATACTTAGGAATAAATTTAACCAAGGAGAAAAAACAAAACAAAAACAAACAATTCCCTCAAACTGAGTATACTCTTAAAAAGAACTTAATTCCTTAAAAACACTCTTAAATGAAAAGTGTTTAAAATATTCCACAAAACCAAACCAAAACATTTACCACAATCACTACCCCTACTGGTTTTGCTGCCATTTCTACCAACCATTCAAGAAACACACTATTCCAATCTTTAAAAACTTATTCCAGAGTGGGGCGCCTGGGTGGCGCAGTCGGTTAAGCGTCCGACTTCAACCAGGTCACGATCTCACGGTCCGTGAGTTTGAGCCCCGCGTCGGGCTCTGGGCTGATGGCTCAGAGCCTGGAGCCTGTTTCCGATTCTGTGTCTCCCTCTCTCTCTGCCCCTCGCCCGTTCATGCTCTGTCTCTCTCTGTCCCCAAAATAAATAAACGTTGAAAAAAAAAAAAAAACAAACTTATTCCAGAGTATAGAGAAAGAGAGAAATTCTCTAACTTATACTATTTGTATAATATAACCTTGGAATCAAAACAAGTTAGGACACAGCAAGAAACAAAAATGAGAACTCACATGTTGGAGGGGGCGCCTGGGTGGCTCAGTTGGTTAAGCGTCCAACTTTGGCTCAAGTCATGATCTCAGGGTTCATGAGTTCGAGCCCCGCATTGGGCTCGGTGCTGACAGCCCAGAGTCTGGAGCCTGCTTTGGATTCTGTGTCTCCCTCTCTGCTCCTCCCCCGCTTACGCTGTCATTCTCTCTTTGTCTCTCTAAAAAATAAATAAACATTAAAAAAAAAAACACTCATACATTAGAATTAAAATTTTTAAAAAATTAGAACTCAGTCTTTTTAAAAAAAAAAAATTTTTTTTAACGTTTATTTATTTTTGAGACAGAGAGAGACAGAGCATGAACAGGGGAGGGGCAGAAAGAGAGAGGGAGACACAGAATCTGAAACAGGCTCCAGGCTCTGAGCTGTCAGCACAGAGCCCGACGCCGGGCTCGAACTCACGGACCGTGAGATCATGACCTGAGCCGAAGTCGGACGCTTAACCGACCAAGCCACCTAGGCACCCCATGAACTCAGTCTTAATTTTAGATGTAAAGACACAAATACTAAGCAAAATATTTATAACTATATCTGGCAGGTTGGATTTATCCTTGAAATATAAGGTCTTTTAACATTAGAAAATCAGGGGCGCCTGGGTGGCTCAGTTGGTTAAGCGGCCGACTTCGGCTCAGGTCATGATCTCGCGGTCCATGAGTTCAAGCCCCGCATCGGGCTCTGTGCTGACAGCTCAGAGCCTGGTGCCTGTTTCAAAAAATTCTGTGTCTCCCTCTCTCTCTGACCCTCCCCCGTTCATGCTGTCTCTCCCTGTCTCAAAAATAAATAAACGTTAAAAAAATTGTTTTAACATTAGAAAATCAACTAATATAATTCACCACATTAACAGATTAAAGGAGAAGAGTTGTATGATTATTCTAAAAGATGAACAAAAAGATTTGGCTAAAATACAGTGTCTCTTAATGATCACAATTCTTAGCAAATCATGAAAAGATGGGTCACTTGGCAGGTTGGAAAAACATGGCCATATACTATTTTGCTGCTTCTGCTCTTGGGAAGTCTATCTTCCTTCCCTCTGAAACGGGGCTTTCCTAATGAGTTGCTCTGACCAACTTTAAGAGGCATGTGGCTTAACTTTTATCCACTTGGAAGCCCTGAGCTTCCATACAGGAAAGTCAGGCGCTTCTGCTGGATAGGCCTGCCAAAGAGAGAGGTTTTGGAAGAGGTAAGACCATGAGGAACAAGAGACTCCTGTAGTCCAGCCATCTCAGCTGTAGTATGCCACCTTATATCTTGTCCAGATGTCAGCCAGCCGGCTCTGCTGATAATACCTAGAATGGAGACGTGACCTGTCCCAGCTGAACCTCACAGCCAACCCATAGAATCATGGAAACTAATAAAATACTTGTCGTTTTAAGCCATTATGTTTTCGAACGATGTGTTACACAGAAATAAACATCTGATATAATTCTCACCAAAAACCGATAGCAATTGTCATATCTAATGGTGAAATACTGAAAACATTCTTTTTGAAGATCAGGGCAAGACCAGGGGTGCCTCTATCACTTCTGTTTATTCTCTTTAACATCATAGGGGGGATCTTGACTGGAACAATAAGATTAAAAAATGAAGAAAATTAAATTATAAAGATTGGACAGCAATTAAGCAGTAAATATTGCAAAGAATCTACAGATCAAATTAAAAATTAATTAATAAGAATGTTTAACAAGGTTGGTGGGCAAAAAATGGTATTACTACTATATGCCAGAAACAGGCAGAGAAAGTAAAAAAAAAAAAATTAAGTTTATTTATTTATTTTTGACAGAGAGAGAGCAGGGGAGGGGTAGAGAGAGAGAGAGAGAGAGAGAAAGAGTCTCAGGCAGGCTCCACACTGTCAGTGCAGAGCCCCACTCGGGGCTCGATCCCACGACCCTGAGATCATGACCTGAGCCAAAATCAAGTGTTAGACCTTTAACCAACTGAGCCAACCAGGCGTCCCATAGTCAATGAAATTTCAATCAAAATTGTTATACAGTTCTTGTTTTCTTTTTTAGTTTGAATAGGAAATTAAAAATATATATGGAAGGAATGTGTGGCTGGCTCAGTAGGTGGAACATGAGTTTGAGCCCCACACTGGGCGAGGAGCCTACCTCATACATACATACATACATACATACATACATATAGGAAACAACGGGCCAAGAATAGCTTGAAGAAAAGCAAGGTTGGGAGTGAATTGGGGTAAATGCTTACAAGATTTCACATTGACTACAAAGCTGTAGTAATTGTGTGGTATTAGTTCAGGAAGAGCCAAAGTGACCAATAAAACAGAATAAAGAACCTATAAACAGACTCACACGGATGTGAAAAGTTGAGTTAGGCCTACACTGTCAGCATAGGTCATGGGGAGATGATCAACAAGGGGCTGGGAAAAGGGTTTACCTACAGGAAAATAGCTAATTTGGACCTCTATCTTATTCCATATCCTCTAAATCAATTCCAGGGGGATTAAATACATAAAAGTATAAGGCAAACTATAAAACTTAAAAAGAAATTAATGCAGGAGAGTATCTTCATGATCTCAGGGTAGGGAAGGATTTCTTGAACAAGATTTAGAAAACATAACACCCCCCCCCCAAAAAAAAGAAAGAAAACATAAACCCAAAAGATTAACATATTTACCTGCATTTAAATAGAGAACATCAGGGGCACCTGGGTGGCGCAGTCGGTTAAGCGTCCGACTTCAGCCAGGTCACGATCTCGCGGTCCGGGAGTTCGAGCCCCGCGTCGGGCTCTGGGCTGATGGCTCGGAGCCTGGAGCCTGTTTCCGATTCTGTGTCTCCCTCTCTCTCTGCCCCTCCCCCGTTCATGCTCTGTCTCTCTCTGTCCCCAAAATAAATAAACGATGAAAAAAAAAATCTTTAAAAAAAAAATAAATAGAGAACATCTCTGAACTGGTCAGTAAAGACAAGCCATAAAGGTGGAGAAGATATTTGTAAAAATATAACTGGCAGATGATTCATAACCAGACAGAAAATAACTCTCACAAAGAAGAAACACACCATTCAATAGAAAAATGAAGAAAACGGGTCCTAATGTTCACTTCACAGAAGAAACTTACGAAAGGATGCTCAACCTCTTTGGTAATCAGGAAAATGCAAATTAAGATCATAATGTGATACCGCTGCATAACCAGTGATAACTAGAATGATAAGTGTATTGAGCATGGGAAGAAACTCAGACACCACTGATAAACATATAAATCAGTATAATTTTTGAAAATGATTAGTATTATCTAATCAAAGATAAAGGGGCACATAGCCCATAAGCTAGCAATTCCATTGCTAGATAAACATCTTAGAGAAACTTACACATGTGTGCCAGGAGATTTGTACAAGTCACAGAGCCAAAGAGCAAGGCATAGGTGAATACCTACTTATGATCCCATTTATATAGAGATCAAACATAAACAAAACCAAACAACCTAGTGTTTAAGGACAACATTTGTGATAAAACTATAAAGGAAGGCAAAGCAATGCTATTTACAAAATTCAAGATAGTCCTTTCTGCTGAGGGGGGAAGGGGAGGGGATTGATTTGTGTTCTAGAAGTATGAGTACCTGACATATAACTATATATTATTATATTATATTATATTATATTATATTATATTATATTATATATTATTTTATATTATATATTATTTTTAATCTACTCAATATTTACTAAAGACTTTGTCAAGGGCATCTAGGTGTCTCAGTTGGTTGAATGCCCAATTCTTGATTTTGGCTCGGGTCATGATCCCAGGGTCGAGGGATCAATCCCTGTTTCAGGCTCCACACTGCACACGGAGCCGGCTCAAGATTCTCTCCCCCTGCCCTTCTCCCCTGCTCGCGCGCTCTCTCTCTCTCTCTCTCTCTCTCTCTCTCTCTCTCAAAATAAAAATTAACAACAACAACAAAGACTTTTTGAAGTGTTCAAAAAATCCTCACATTTAATCAGGATGACCTCAGGGAGGTATGACTGGAATGCCATTGTCACCAACAAAGCCTAAACTAACTGACTGGACTGGATGGAGTCTGTAAAAAGAAGGCCTTAGAAAGGCCTTTAGAAACCTGGCCAGCAAGAATTTGTGTCTGTCAGTTCCAGCCCCCTCCACATGCACTCAGACACGTACACCTTCCTCTATACTCCCCTCCCCCACACTT